GCACTGAAGTTTGCAAATTCAACAGTGCAGAAGGGTTTTGCAGACTACAAAGCTGACACACTCCTGAGAATTCCCCAAGCAAGAGCACTAAGACGTTCAGCTACAGCCACACACCCTGCACCTGACTGCTAGGGACAGCAAGAGCTGTAGGAATTTGTTCCCTCCGAATCTCATGCGACTTCCCTAAGATTTCAGTTTGCTTCTCTCTCTCACCCATACAAAGCATTTCCAAACAGCTGATTTTAAACACCCAACTTGACCATCTATTCACTCTTCTATCCTACCAGGAGTTTCCAAAAGGAAGCGTGTAAAGCAGAAAACTAAGTTAAACGTCCTAAATCCCCTCCTCCAAGGCATCTCTCTCTTCTTTATCACAGAAAAATTCCTGTGAAACAAATCACATAAACCAGCCACTACATTTCAGCAAGGTATTATGTTCTAAATTACCTGAGTATCAAAGCAGCAGAGTCACTTCAGTGTTAATGTAAGAGAAGGCCTAACTAGTTCACTGCCATACGTGGAAGTACCCTTGAAGATTTATCAGCTTTAATGAAACATATAACGTCCATCTGAAACATTTTCTCATATATTACATCATGTAATTTACAACTTTCCCCATGCCTTCAGCTAATTAGCCAGATAATCTAGACCACAATGGTCATTTCCATAGGCAGATAAAGACATCTCTCTCCTGAAGGGTCAACAGTCACTTACATGGGATTTCACTTCAGACAAACTGCTACAGCTTCCTCACTTTTCAGGATCATTTTAGAGAACACTGTCAAGACTTCAAGGCAACTTGAGGCAATGGTGCCAGCAAACAGACTGCAGTGTTGAATGACATCAAATCCAGACACTGCCCCAGCACCACACACCAGCTAGGGCAGCTGCTCACAGAATCACTTTCTGTCTCCACTTGAATGCCACTTCTCAGTTAAAAAGTTGCAGTCACATTGCCAAAGGGCAAAGCTGAGCATAAAACCCAATTCCAGCTCCACTGCTCTCACTATTCTTCACCAACTATATGTGAAAAATTCCACACATTAAAGAAGACCATCCCTGCAGAGTTCTATTGTCTCAAGTTATTAATTAAACATGCTCTCAAAGAAAGTTAAATCCCTCAAATCATTTGCTTCTACCAAGCAACTCCCATATTATTCTAACTGCAATTCAGACAGTATATCCATTTACTGCAATTCACAAGAGACCACCACCAGACAATCCTTGCTCCAGTTCAAGAACATCCATGCACACAGCAAGCCCCAAGAGACCCCAACCAAGAAAACCCACCCAATTTTTCTGACAACCCACTCAATATTGTTCACTGCTCCCAGAAGAGTATCTCAACTGTCATTTATTTCCCCTGGGAGCAGCAGGTGGCTGTTTGGATTTGTAATGAGAGATACAACCTTCCACAGGCAAATCAAACCCAATCTAGGTCCTCAGTAATCAGGAATCAACCTCTACCTCTTCACTCACCAACGTGAAGTTCAGATCTGCATGTTTCCTGCAGGACAAACAGCATAAGAACATCCTAGCTGGTGCAGCTAGCTTAGCAGCTGCCCAAGCAGCCTCAAGAATAGTAATGCATGAAGATTAACTACAGCTAAAACCCTTTGGTCTGTATCTTAGGATTCCTGATGGACACTGACACTCAACCTTGCTGCTTCTTGCAGATAATGTACGTCTGCAGTCAAGACTTGGCTAACAGAAGGGTCCTCCATGTAAAGAGTTGGATGATTAGACAAACGTAGCTGCAGGCAGATAGAAGTTTGTTTGGGAGTTCAGAAATTCAAATATAGGGGAAAAAAAAAAGTGTAAGCTCAACATTACCTCTTTGTTCATGCAGACACTGGAAAATTCATAGCGTATAATATCTGGATAGAGGGAATATCTATAGTACCTTAACATGCAACATGACAGTAGTATCTTCCACTGCTTAACTCCATATTGCTATGTAACTTCCCCTCCTGCCTCCGTTTTCATAGGAGAGAGAAATGCAAAGGGAAGAGGATCTTAGTTATAATGTGAAGAACAGCTGGCATCTTTCTCCTGTTCACAACAAGAGGACACTATCTGCATCCTTGGGAGAAGAAAAATGTTTTGTTGCTTTCTTCCCTGTTAAAGCCATTCACACCTCAATTCTCAGAGCTGCTGGTAAAAGGATAAACAAAAGACAGAGAAGCACAGTAAAAAACAAAAACCAAGGACAGCATAAATAAATTGTGACTATCACTCTCAACTGCTTACTAACACACAACAAAATACTATCGTTGCTGGAATCCTTGCAATATTAGCACCAGCAGACAGGGATAGATTCTCCTCTACGTACGTAACAAAAAAGAAACTGGGATTCAACAATGAAGAAAATCCCTCTACCCCAATTACGATCTCGTAAGCGCTAGGCAAACATTAATCTATATCATCCTATAATTAATTTTTCTGACTTCCCATTATCTTTTAGCTACTGTTAGGGTGAAGGCAACAAGAAGGGCCTTGTGGCACTACGGTTGAAAGCTTACAACCAAGTATTCAGCAATACAAGTGCATTACAACAAAACAAATCACAAGTTAACAGACAGCCAGAAGGATGATCCATCTCTCTGCATCTCTCACCATTTCCTTGCACTGCTTCAGCTCTCACAGGACACATTCAGTTCCACCCTGGTTAAGCCCAAATTGAATTAAATAGTTTTGTATGCATAAGACTAGTTCTTGCTCCAAGGAACTGATAATTTATGAAACAGATGTAGGGATGGCCAAAAAGTCAAAAGGAATGGCAGTATTAGGATTACATACATCCTGCACTGTTTCCCATGAGTTAAAACACAAGGCAAAGAGAACCACAGGGAATAAAAAAAGACACTCAGGAAAGACTGAAGCAAAAACACACAAGAGCCCAATCACAGTAGCATACAGACACCAGAAAATAAAAAAGCTTGCCTCAGTGCTGACTTTAAAGAAATTGAATAGAAAGACCGGATAAAGGACTGATTATGAATGCAAAACATCAGGACTGAATAACAAGAATAATGCAGCTGATGTGAAAACCACCTGGAAGAAGAACAGATAAGGTTTCATCCTAACTATATCACAGAGGGTATTTTTAAGGCATCAGGTCCCAGAACACACATGAAAAAATCATATACGTTCACACCAGCTGGAACTTCACCTTGCAGGTATATCTCAGCCATACCATCTTCTCAGAAGTGAAGATGAGACCCTGCACACAGCAGAGGGGTTGAAACTTCATTCAAGAACTTTCTGAAGAAAATCAAACTGAGGAAAAGCATCTGCTGACATTAGGCCACATCCATGCAACAGGTGGGGTTCTGACATTAAGTCTTCAAGTTATTAAAGGGTGCAGTAAGAAAAGTTCCAACCCCTGCATAAGAAATGGCCTGTAGGTCCACTACCTCCACCACTACCTCCAAAGAATTCTGTTGGTTTTACTTTCAATGCTTTTCAGAGACAGGAAGATAAAAGCACGAGCTGAAGGAAAACAGAATTAACAGTTTTATGACACATCTTTCAACTTATAAAACCATCTCTACACAAATATGCAAACAACAGCATTCCCTGCCTAAACATCTCCACAACAGGCCAACCACATGGCAACTTCTATTTAAAAACTTAAAAGTTAAAGCCACTGAGTAAGAAATGTTTGCTTACTATCCTTATACTGCTTCAAGTGCATGAGAATCTCTTCCACCTGTATGTCTAGAAGCAAGTCACTAACTGCATTCAGTGACTCAAAGCTTAGACAGTTAGCATCGAAACGAGATGTAGTTCTACACAGTTATCCCTAAATATTATGCTCCACAGAAGGAAATAACTCCAATATTGTTCCAGCAGCTTATTTCACATGGCATTACCTGACACGATTTTTCTTACAAAACAAATTAACAGGGCACTTGGGTTTTCTTTTTTATTGATGCACACACTGACTTCAGTGAGGTTGCAAAATTCACTGCAACATTTGCTTTCAAAGGGCTCAGATGACAACACATCCCCTGAGGAGGCACAGCAAAGGAACAAGGGCTTGATCATTTTTATTTTAGAAATTAGAGGCAGGAGATCTTAATAAAGGTTGCGAAAGCTTTGTGTCTGCTGCTCTGAATAGATCTGTGGGAATCATGCATTTTAACAACATGCCCACACCTAAGCTGTGCTTCCTATGCTAAGGGAGGCATGGGAGCAGATCTCCTTAGCTCACTACTGTATTTGACGAGTTACTTACAGGTCACAGTCAGCAAGCTACAGTGAGTCATATGCCCATTTCAGTCGCAGCACATCTGACAATGCAATGACTGAAGAGCCTTCTAGTAAACACTACTACTAAGGTATGTTTTGGCCTACTAGCCCTTCAGAATTGTTCAGTCACTGGAAGGCGTTAGCTGCATTTGTAAAAGCACTCATTGTTCCTCATGTTCTTAATGATGTTCCCTTCTCAGACCAGCTGAGCATATTAATAGCACTTCCCCATCCAAATATAAAAAAAAAAAAAACAAACAACCAACCTCAGAACAAATAAGCAAGAAACGCAGGCAAGCACACATCACAAGCTACCTCCAAAACTGTGTTTTTCAATATTGGGAATGGTAAAAGCTCAACCTACATGCATTGGCAGTTTTGTAATACCATTACATAAGAATTATTTAACTACAGCAACAGATTTGAAAAGCAGCAGCAGCCACCACTAAACTGGTTCACACAGACACACAGAGGGGGAAAAAAAAAAAAATCAATAATGGGAACGATAACTTCTGCAAACGCACATTTGACTGTCAGGGAGTGCACTGGGATTTCAACACCCCTGAGAACCAAAACATTTCAGTTTATAGCTAGCAAGGCACTGCAATCCTGAAAAAATAAAACAAGCAAGACCGCTGGCATTCCAACCATTAAAAACAAAACATCTTAAGCTTTAAACAATGTCATTAAAAGCATCTATCACAAGCCCGACGCGCTATGTGTTCAGTTTGGAAACATTTCTTTACCTGATGTTCTGCATGAATGTTATCCCCAGTAGGCCAGCGATGTTTGCTGTTATTATAGCCGCCTCCACCACTTCCTCCTCCCCCAAGCTGCTCACCATGCTGCCTCTGAAAGAAGTAATCCACCATGGCGTCGTCCTGGGAGCGGCCTGCAACTCCTATGGATCCAGGAACAGGACTGGAGTGTGTCCCTGCTGCAAGAGCCTGGTTTGCAGCTGGCTGTGGCTGAGCCTGGGACCCTGTTCCAGATGTCAATACAACAGGCATGTTGGGATTAGCTGTATCTTGAGCGTGCTGTTTCAGGTGGGGGCTGAACGAGTCCTGCCAGAGCACTGCTTTTCTCTTCAACACACACGCAACGCTCATTCCACCAACACCTACGGGGTGAGGGCACGGAGGCGAGACAGAGAGAAAGGGAGAAGGAAAAGGGAAGGTTAAATCCTTCAAGCTTCAGTTCTGCGCATTCAGTAACACACCCCTCTGATGTGGGAAACACGATGCCAAGGCCAACTCCTCGTAACGGTCATTTGCTCTATTAATTTTGCAACTAAAACACCATACAGAAATGCACACTTGGCCCCAAATCCCACGTTTTGTGCTGTTGAGTGTTTGTTATCAGCGTGTGTGAGACTCACACAGGGCACCCCTTACACTGTAAGCAGAATGCCCATTTATGCAACAGACAAAACAACCCAAGTGCTGCCACAGAAAACCACCAGAAAGAAATTCCCCAAAGAACACAGAGCAACCCAGACTCCACCATCAGTGTCTGCTGTGCTTGTTTACACCTCCCAGATCACAAAGCTGATCTTCCATCAGCACACAAGTGTTGCGCACTCACACAAAACATCAAAGCTCCCAGTGCAAGCTGAAAACACTGGATTTCTGCTTAACCAGGTCACAAACACACCATGCACCATTCTGCTAACTCCAAAGTTTCAGCTGAACGCAGCTCATCGGTAGCTGCACTGCCAGAGGAATGCACACCTTTTGGGGCTCCAGGCAAATCTCAGGCAAGACCTGGTAAAAGCACTCTGAATTTCTGCACCAGCAGCTCCCGCTCCCAGAAGCTTCCTCTTTCATCTAACACAGACGAGGCAGCGCTAAACAAGCGAGAAAACTTGGCAAAGGAGACATTTTGAAAGGGAGCAAAGGGGAAAGGAGCATTGTGGGTAGTTCAAGTTTAGTTCCAAGATGTGTTTTTATAGAAATGCCGCGTTAAATGTAGCGGACAGCTGAATGCTGTCATTCAAAGCACACGGAGCATCAGAAATATGTTAAGTCACCTACACAACACACATTCATTAGCTACCAGCAGCTGCAAGGCTCTGCTGCAAGCAGTCAGTGGCTGCTAGGATCCCACTAACTCCCAAACTCTTCCTAAAAACATGCAATAACCCTTTCCTATGTAAACAGCTCCCTGCGAAGAAGAGTTACACATTTACAAACAAAGGCAGAATAGTCAGGAGATTCGGGCAGAGCGCTGCCACAAAGCACTCCAAGCAGACAGCTTTCCTTTCCCCCAGACCAAAATACAGCATGTAAATAGGGTGCTCTGTGTTACCATTAGCAGCAAAATAGTTTAGATTACAAGGCTTTAAGCAGCCAGCTGAACTTCAGAGGAATCAAGGAGCAAATTTCAAGCGCAAGAAGCGATGTCTCTCAGTGAGGCAGCACAGCTCTGCCTTTCCTATAGACAAATCCACTCTAAAAACTACAGGCGGCATTAAAACACGAAGCTGGTGGCAGCTGAACACCTCAACAAGTTAAATGGAGAGCTGGATGGGAGTTCTTTGGTGGTGGTGGTGGTTTGGGTGGCGGTGTTTTTTTGGGTTTTTTGGGGTTTTTTTTTTTTTTTTTTTTGGAAAGCTGGACTGGAAATTCAAGCTCTCATTGTTTGAGAGCTGTGCGGCCTATCAGAAGTTTTAAGGTGAAAGCACGTAAAACCTGCAGGAAGTGGGAAAATTGATAACCAACCTGATTGCTTCAAGCAGCATTAAAATAGGGGGTGGTAAATGCCACCCTTCGCCCTCACTCTTCGTAAAGGAAATTCCTTACTCATGATCTGTGTAAGGAAATCTCTGCTCTGAGCAAAGTTATTAAACACGGAACAAAACAAACAAACGAAAAACAAAGGGGAAAAAAAGAAAAACACAACCAAACGAACCAAAACACCAGCAAGTATTTCTCAGGTTGGGGGAGAAGGGGCAAAGAAAGAAAGAAAAAAAAAAAAAGCAGGATTCTTCTCTAACAATCACCAAGTGTGTAATTAAAAATGGCCAAACGGCACCGATGGGAAGGGAGAAAAACAAGGAGAGCGTTTAAAAAAAAAAAAAAAACAACACACACACAAACAGGGCCACAGCGCACATTCAAAGTACCGCCCGCATTGTGCCTCCGCCGGGCTCCAGGCCCCGCGCCCCCCCGCTCTGTAAGCGACCCCCCCCCCCCCCCAGCTGCCCTCCCCCGGGCTCCCCCCGCCCCGCCGCGCCCACCCCAGCACGGGCCGGGCCCCCCCGCCCTTCCGCGGGCAACAAAGCGGGGCCGGGCCCAGCCGGCCGGGCCTGCTGGGGGCTCCCGGGAGGGGCCGTGCCCGGGGGGGGCCGCACCGCCACCGTGAGGGAGCGCGGCCCAGGGGGCACCGCCACGGGGCCGCCCCCGCCGAACAATGCCGGCCCGCTCCCCCGCGGCCGGATGGGGAACGGAACGGCGGGGCGAGGGGCGGGAAGGGCCCGCCGAGCCCCCGCCGGGTAACAATGGGGCCGACGCACGGCCGGGCGCCGAGCGGGAGAGCCGGGCGCAGCGCCCCGCCGCCGCCGCTCGCTTCGGGCCGCCCCGCCGCCGCTCCGCCCGCTCCCCCCGCCAATATGGCTCCACCGGAGGCTCCGCAGGGGTGCGCGGCGCGGCGGGGGCCCGATCCGGTGCCGATACTCACGGGCGGAGCGGTAGGATGAAGCTGGATCTCGGCCCCCCCCAGGCCGCTCGCCGCCTGCCTCTCCCCCTGCCTTTCACTCCGACAACATGGCGGCCCACTGGGGACGGGCGGCGCGCTGCATGCCGGGAAGGCGAGGCGGCCCGGCCGAGGGCGGCCCGGCCGCGGCCCTGGGTAGGCCCCGCGCGGTTTGGGGGCGGCTCCGCACGGCCCGGGTTCGGCTCCGCGCCGTTGTTGGCGTTCCTCGAGCCGGGCTTTCACCGCTCGCCGCTCTCCGTTCCCATTTTCACTGTTTTTTTCCCTCACAAATGTGCACGCTCTGCCCCACGCCTCACCGTGCCGCCTGACTGGGGATGTGGAGGAGCCCAGTCCCGCTGTTTTGTCCCGGGCACCGCTCACCACTATGGGCGCTCACCTCTAACAGCTCGTGTACGGACATCTGTGTGTTTACTGGATGTAACACGCTCCCTGGCACAGGCTCCCACACAGAAGCACTGCAGTGCCTGATAGACCCCTCTGTGAGGAATGGGGCTCCCACCCCAAAGCAGACCTGGTGCCAGCAATGAGCGGAGTCTTAGTGAGATTAATGTGTGAACTGATTGTTTTCCAGTTAAACTTGGCAGGGCTGAGTGGGGGTTCCGCCAGGTTGTTGTATATCTGTGGTCACAACATTCACTGTCCCTTATCTGACCTATCTGGTGACCTTTGGGGGAGTTGAATGTGTGATAGAACCATAGAATTATTGAGGCTGGAAAAGACTTCTAAGATCACCCAGCCCACCCCCCCAGTGCCCACTGCCCACGTCCCTCAGTGCCACATCTCTATGGTTCTGGAACACCTCCAGGGTTGGTGACCCCACTGCCCCCTGTGCAGCTGTGCCACTGCATCAACACTCTTATAGAGAAGAAATTTTCCTTTATATCCAACCTGAACCCAACATCAGACTCGGTGTTTGTTAATGGCACTGCCAGGCCCCCACGTTTTGCCCCCAAGCTCTTCATTTGAACACTGACACCCATAAAGTCACATGGCATCCACAACCACAGCACGACCACGCAGTGTTAGTGTGGCTGCTTTTGCCATGAGTGCCATTCAGTGCTGGGAAAAACCATTTCTCAGGGTTCCATTCACACAGAGCCCAAGGAGAGGCAGAAGCAAGCTGCAGTGCATGGAGCAGAGCAGCGAGTGCATCAGTAGGTGCTGTTTCCTGCCCTGCACACCGAAAGCTGGGCTCTAGCAGCCCTGCACACCTTTTGGATGTTTTCCCTTTGTTCCCTTTTCTCCCCTTCTCCAAAGCACAAACTACGCACCCCAGCGTGCACTGCTCTGCTCCAGCCATGCTTGCACTCTGGGCATTCAAACAAAGCGCTGCACTCTGGGATTTGAAGTTCCTGAGAGAGCGCGTCCATATTAAAGGGGCAGCTCATTGAAACCTTCCAAACAGCCTCCCCAGAGCCTGGGGATCCTCCTGCTGTCATAAATTCAGCACAGCTTTGCTGGGCTCAGCCCCGCTCACCACAGAAGCATGCTGCCCGTGCGGGCATGCAGCAAGCAACACCGATCTGGTTGCTCTGCTACACGAAGCCCTAAGGGCTGCTGCCAGCGTGGATCTTGCACAACAAGCAGCTCCTGTTAGCAAGGCCGGGCTGCCCCAGGCTCCCCGAGCCCTTCACCAGAATAGGAACATCAGCAGGTTTTTCTGGAAAACGTTCCTAATGAAGATGCAGCTAATAGTGCCAAGCGGCACTGCCCTGCTACAGGTGGGGTCAGCCCATCTGCAGTGTGGTGTGCAGTGACCCTCTATCACATCTTCAGCTACCAGCTGGTAGAGCACCAAACCCAACCCTGTGTACAGTGCAACAGCCCCAAAACAACATCAACTTGTGCATAGCAGAGCCCCGTGGGAAACACTGACAGCAAAGCCATGTCCTGGCATGGCAACAAATCATTCTGTAATGAGAAGGGGAGGAATGGAGTCCTGTGGATGAAGTGTTAGTTGTTGAAACCCAGGGAAATGGAACATACTCACTTCCACTCCTCCCAGCCTTTTTTCTTTCCTCTCTAACACTACCAGGAGCCAAAACTTGTTATAAGCACTGGAAAATTTCTTAAATTCACTGGGGGTTGGCCCAGGTCCTCCAGCAGTGGGACATGGAGGATCACCTCAACTCCTCCTGCCCCTGCGCAGTTATTATTATTTTTCTTGTCCTTGGTGGGAGGTGGCAAGGTCCTGTCCTTCTCTGTCTCACTGTTACTCTCCACTTGGCTCCGTGGCCCAGTCTCACTGCATCACCTGGGCTCCACCTGGTCTCAGAAGGGAAAGTGGCATCTTCGGGAGGAGTCTGATGCCATCCTGACCTCTGAATCACTGCTGGAAGTGCCTTTCTCCCTCCACTGTAGAATAGCATCCCCAGGCAGGTGTGGCCATGTGCAGCCCTGGGGACATGGAGGAAGGGCCACCGAGCATTTTCACTTCAAAGACAAATGTGCAATTCTATTATTTCTGAAATTAAAAGACAAATTGGAAGAAAGGGCATTTCCTCCTGGTGCAAAGTAAAGCAGCAATATTTAGTTAGCCACAAAAAAAAAAAAAAAAAAGAAAAAAAAAAAAGAAATCCACTGTTTTTTTCTAAACCAAGCCAAAACAAAACACTCAGACTTGACCAAAAAGAATTCTGAGCCAGACTACTTTTGCAGATGACACCATGTTGGGAGGAAGTGTTGCTCCACCTGAGGGTTGGAAGGCCCTGCAGTGGGATCTGGATAGGCTGGGTCAGTAGGCTGAGGCCAATTGTATGAAGCCCAACATTCTGGGTCTGGCACTTTGGTCACAACAACCCCATGCAACAATAGCAGAGGCACTTCTCCCAGCTTACACTGCATCTCCAAGCACTTCATCTTTGAGAAACGCCTTTCCAAGTTCCTGAAAACATCACTGCACATCCCATCCTGCACACACACATGCAGGGTATGCGAACCAACGCTTTCCAGGCTGGACCTGTCATCATTAGACCTAGGTGGGAAATACCACGTCAGTTCTGCGGCATCTTTTCATCAGATAAAGCTTCATTTTCACCAACACTTGTCGCCTACAGGTTTCCATGAGAAGCAGCACAACGTTTTTGGGAGACAGCAGCCAAGCGAACAAAGCAGCTGGTGAAGTTTTGTGGTTGCTGAAAGCTGGAGGAAGTCCTGGCTGCAGAGCCACCTGGCAACAGTCAAGTCAGAAAGTTTCATCTTGGCTGGAAAATCACTTTTTCTTGCAAAAAACACAAGATCCCCTTACATGGGGGACACAGCGCCTCATCCCCATTTCTAATCATTAGAGCTCTGAAGCATGCAGCCGGTTAAGCTTTCCAGATTGTTTGTTATCGTTAACTACATCAACTCTGGATTTTCTTGACAGGCAATTACATGACTAAGCCTTTCGGAAGCTCAGCCTGAATGCAACAAGTCCCAGGGCCTGATTGTGCTTCATGGGGAGTGACTCCCCCTATCACTCTATGTTTGCCATTTGCATTTCACTGGCTCTCTCTGGGCACTGGAGGATGATTCCACCTCTGGGATGTCTCCAGAGAGGAGGGTGACAACATGCTGCTGCTGACCACCCTCCCTGTGGTGCAGCTATCTGCATATCTGCAGAAAGAAAAAAGAAAAAAAAAAAAAAGAAAAAAAAAAAAGGAAAGTTTAGCCGTTTACAGCATCATCCCAGCTGCAGATTTGCATGCTCACATTTAGGAAATACCAGAATTAAATTTGCCTGCGCAACCTTAATTCAACCCCCTCGGGCACATGCTTTGTGATCCAGCCTTTAATTACAGGTTTGCAGACGAGGTTTTTCCCACAGCGCCTGTGGCCCAGTTAGTGCCCAGGCTGGCTCTGCGGGGGGAAGGGGGACACATCCCTGGGACCCCCTAAGTCCCGACTTTCAGAGACTGGAGGGAGAAAAAAGGAGCTCTGATGCTCAAAATGCACACGTGCTTCTCTAGCCTTGTGCAACTCGAGCAGCTGAGCCACAATTCAGGGCTCTGGAGGGTTTGGTTGTGAAGCTAAGAGGATGGAGCTGGGTGTGGTGAGTGTGCGGGGGTCGGGTACCTATAGGGCTGGGGCACACAGAGGCTCCCTGATGCACCTCCAAACCCCACTGCAGCCCCAAATCCTGATCCAAACAGCACTCAGCTTCAAACCCCAATGCAGTTCTAAACCCCAATGCAGTTCTAAACCCCAATGCAGCTCCAAACTCTACTGCAGCTCTGAACCTCATTTATCTAGAAACCCCTCCTAGATCCCCTTACTACCTTCACAGTATATGGGGCCTGGCTGCCTCCTCCCTTTTCTCCTCTTGCACAGACAGAGCCCTTTTGCACATCACCCCTCCTCCCATACATACCTTTGATTTGGGCACCCATACGTGCCTGGGTGCTGGGTGGAGGCTGCTTTTATTCCACCTTCCTGCATGCAGATGGGAGCTGAGCAGCTCTTGCATCTCTGACCACTGCCTGCAAGCT